ACTTATTTTATCAACAACAAAATTATGGTACAACAATCATTTTTATGGCAGAGAAACTCAGAGAACATATTAACTTCTTTACTTTCTAGTACACTAGCAATTTCTCATTTTTTTATGAAATATGCTGGTAATTATTTACATTATACCTCTTTCAAGTTATGTTGGGCTACTTCCTGAATATGAGCTTTTAAAGATGCATTTTCTTCTTGAAGATCCTGAAAAAGAACAGGTGTGAACAGAATTGATATTCAAGTATAAAGAAGATTGTTTACTTTAGTTTTTAACTTCTCACCTGTAAGCATTTCCCTCTACTGGCTAGGTCTCTCTCTCTCTCTTCTAAGACAGTCTTCATGGTATTCATCTGTTCCTCCTTTCCTTTTAATCTGACAATAAATTAATAAGAACTATCAATGAAAATATTACATAACTATACAGAGCAAATATACTGGAGACTGGAAAAGTGTATTTTAGGTTGCACTCACAGTTCAAATTGATTAAAATAAGCTACAAAATAAATATTTTAAGTATAAAGGCATATGTAAGATTTTGGGTATCAAATTAGGAAGTATAGGATAATTAAAGGAAACAGTTACATCACCGAAGATCTGGGTTTTGAATAAATTAGGGTAGCTCTACTCCCACCCCATATCACTGTGCTTAAGTCAATACCAGCAACTTTAGGCAGCTTACTACAACTGATTTAGGCATACACAGCCAGTTTCAGAGTGGCTATTAAAACGGGTAAAGAGCAACATCTCAGTTTAAGGTCATATTCAGATTATATATAAATTATGAAAAATAAGACTTCCCACTCGACCCCATTCCCATCAAAAAGCCTGTAGGTTAAATCCTAATGAAAAACTTAAGACCTTGAAGCCTTTTTGAGATATAATTTGATATTCTCCAAAATATTACTTGAAATCGAATTAAAAGTGGTGATTTTTCATTATAACTTTAACTTGTGGAGAAGGGTGTATTAAAGGGTAATCAGAGGAATGATACTTACAAGCTCTGAAGTTCCTGAACTTGAGAAGTGATAGACAACTGAAATACAAAGAAAAAAGCAATTCATAATCCTTTCAGTTTGCCTTATTAATAAGCTTTATGATAAACTTTAAAATGTGTACACTCCCAATTACAAAAATCCTAGCTGAATTATTCATGCCAAAATGAGGTATGTTTTAATTTCACCTTCTTGACTTCAGGAACAGTAAGAGTAACAAATTAAAAATATATGGCAGGGGGTAGGAGGGAGGGAGTGCCAGCAGGGAATATAATTACTAATAGTAAGTCTAGATAATGTGATACTTCTAAAATTACAAAGATGAGAATATTAACTGTACACATACCTCCCTACATAACAGAGCTCTTATCCTTCCCAGTCTTCAAGGCCAACTACTCCTCATCAATACTTTACACTGCCCTTCTTTAATCTCCTTCTCTTATCGTACACAGTTCAATAGTACCTTTTAATCCCCACTATCTTCTAATAGTCTCTTCAGATCGTGGCTTAGATGTCAGTCCCTCAGGAGGAGACTTTCCTGAACTCTCAATCTATAACAGAGGATTTTGATCTTTTCATCATACCCTGTTTCATTCAACACATTATCTTCAAGCACTAACACAGTGCTATGACAAACAGGAGGAACTGAATATTGTTGAATCAGTCTGTTGGATGAATGAATAAATCATCTCTTCCATGCAATCTCATGATTTTTTCCAATGAAGCCTTATCAGATTAAATTCACCAAAACCCAACTATTATCAGAAATGGCATCTACCTCCAATATTTGTACTTTGTTCTATAGGCAAGGTTGAAGCAATTACATATTCTCTAACAAAACATTTTGGTCCATGCAGTTTAAAAAAAAAAAAGGTTAAAAAAAGGTTTACCAAACTGTTTCATGTTTTGTTTTCTTAAGTTGGCAAACTAAAATGAAACATTAATACAGAGAACTTTCTAGAAAAGATCTAACGGTTAAAAACAAACTGTTTAAAAATCAACAACACTTATCTCAAATCAGCCAAAAATAAATAAATAAGGAGTACATAATCCAATATGCTTACAGCACACTACTGTAAATGTTTTTCTAAGTAACAAGAAAAAAATTGAATAGCTCATAAATACACATACACTAACAAATCTGTCATGCTATGGCTCTGGGATTTTTTTTTACCTGTTGAGCCTTTTCAAGCTGGATATTTCCTATTTCTTCTTTAAGAGCCTCTATTTCCTGTTTCAAATCCTTGACAATGACAAAACAGACAAGATTGGACAATGGAAACACAGATATTGACATAAAATGTAATGTACAGACAAACACATGAAATTAAATGGTATTCACTAAAGTTGATAAACAAAACCAAAAAAACACACAAAGCTTTCTTCCCCAATACCTGAATAGTTTTCTCCTTATTAGCAACCTTGAGAAGTTCAGCTTTCAGAAGTTCTTCCACGGACTTGATCTTTCCATCTTTTTCATGGATCCTAAGACAAAGAAATGCAGTTTTAAGCTTGAATAGAATTTGAGATCTACCAACTAAGAAACAAAATAGCACCAAATCATCAACAGGCTTACCAAATCAACTCTTTGCATTTTAGGTAAAATAGCAACATATCTGGCAGAGAGAATGGAAAAAAAAAATACCTAAAGCTCTTCCTAAATGAGAATTTATCTGCAACTACTAGATAGCTGAAGCCTATGCACACAAGGAGAGGCTGGTGACATACTTCCAAAGTACACAGGGATTATAAGATTTGTACCCTAAAGAACAATGGGTAGAACTGAGTTTCCCTCAACAATACTGGCATCTAGAGCTCTGAAAGCTGCAGCAGAACTTATACACAATTACAGCATCAAATGTCACAGATACCTCAAGAAGAGGATGCATGCAAGGAACTGATCTCTTATTCCAATATCATCTGTTCTTTAATAGTTCCTACTGTAGAAACAGAAAGCTGACAATTTGCTACCATAAATTAAGAAAATGGATGGCATCAGTTATAAAGCAGATATTCTAACAATCACACTGCACTGAGAAAGCACATCTAAATTCCCTTATTCCATCAATGAAAAATTACAGTGTGAAGGTTAAACTAACATGTATCAGCTGTCTCAATTGTACAAAACAAGATTTATGAGCACTAAGAAAATGGACCAAAAGAGAAAGACCAGTTTAATAATGTCATCACTTACACTTTCTTAAGTTCTTCAACTAGAGATGCAAAAGAAACCTGCAAATAGAAAGGTATATCCTACTTAGTAATTGCTTAAAAATATAAATGAGTCAGAAACAGAAAAGTATGTTATCCTTAAGTTTTCTACTACACCAAAATCCAAATGAGAAAAAATAAAACCATGGAATTCTTTCTAGATTTTTAAAAATAATTATGAAAATGAAGAGCACTTTGAAAGTAAGCAGCTTTAAAGCTACTTATGGTAAATATAGGTCAAAAGAAAAACCAAGTATTAAATTACTGAGTAATTCTAACCAAATAAAGAGAAAATACAACTAAGAAATTACCTAATTTCAGACAGCCTCTTCTACTATTATACAGGATCTTTCTATTTGTATACAGTTGACTCTTGAACAACACATGGGTTATGCACACAGACCCCCTGCAGAACTCCCCCACCCCACATGTAACTTCTGACTCCTCCAAAATTCAACTGTCAATAGCCTACTGTTGACTGGAACACCTTACCCATAACATGAATAGTTGATTAACACCTATTTTGCATATGTATTATATGCTGTATTCAAGCTAGAGAAAATAAACTTTTTTCAAATTGTCATCTCCAAAAAATTTTCCAATATATTTATTGGCAAAAAAACCCTGCAAATAAGTGAGGCCTGCACAGTCTTAACCCAAATTGTTCAAGGGTCAACTGTACTCAAAACCTTTTATAACTGTAGTAAAAAACAATGACATCCTATTTAGAGTACTCTATCCAGCACCTGGCATACAGTCAGCATTCAGTAAGTCACAGCCTCTATTACTGATAATCAAGTCACTAATTATACACAGATTAAAAGTGTAAACAGATTGCAAGTTGGAGTAGGGAGGAACAAACAACAGACTGACTGCAGTTGAATCTAACAGTTTTGTCCATTGTTTAGAAGAGAACAATTGTAGGATCTAAATACATTACCTGATCATTTTGTTTAGTCTTTAATTCTTGAACCTCTTTCCTCAGACATGAATTTTCTCTTCTAATTGCCTTTTTCAAAGACACATAAACACAACATACTTTTATTTTCTGAAAGAAATAACTAGCTTTAAAATACAGTAGCTTCTCCTTTTACTTTAGCTGCTTCTTTTCCTCTCTGGAACACCCAGAAATCTCACTTGTTCCACATCTCTACAGTCTATAACCTCTAGAGCTAGTCAAATGAGTTTTTGATTCAATCATCCCCACAAGTATTTATTTCTACATATGTTTCCACAACCTCAAAACTACATGGTACACCACTTACCAAATCATCTCTCTCCCTAAATTAAAATACATCTTTTAACTTATTTTTTCCAGCAACCATATCCTAATCAAGTTAATTAAAGCTGTGATAATCATAAAACAGAACTATAGTCTCTCCTTTTCTCTCGCCTCCAATACTACTGCATCAATTCATGAAGTCTGCTAATAACTGGTTATAATTGGGCATGGATGGAAGTGGGGAAGCCTATAATTCCTAACAATAGTATCTACTTATATAAGCAGTGAATGCTACAATCAACTATGCACTTTTCTATTTCTAATAATATGCTAAATTTAATGAAAAAAGACATCACATAAATTCATAAAATGTGGGTAACTAATATTACATTTAAAAGCTATGGGAAAACCTTATACAAATTACAGTGAAACCCCTTCATATTCATTGAATAAACCATAAGGAAAATATATCTATAAAATGATTTACATTCAGTTCCTCCTCTTTAGTGGCCACCTGAATAAGTCCAGTTTCAAGTAATTCTTCCACAGTCTTCAACTTCTCATCTTTTTCTTGAATACTGAAATTATATGAAATTTAAAATATATGTAGGAACTATTTTTCAAAGTAAATGATATCATTCCTAAATATTTTATGTGGATCAACTCCTGTGTCCATCCCTATAAAGTTTTGATTCTGGAAAGATTTCTGAAGATCTTTGATCACAGCCTAAGGGTACTACTTCCTCTTTACAAATGAGTAAAATGTGTTCTCAAGTAATGCATGCTTTCATGCTAGCCTAAAGAAATATATCACTGCCACAGATGATGCCCACAAACCAAGTATAATCTCAAATCAGATCAATTAATAGCATACCACTCTCTTCTACTATTAAGTACAAAGAGGATTTCAAGGATCTAGATTAATAAATAATTCTGTTACCTCAAATTTGGTAGAAACGAGACATTAAAATATAAAAAGAAAATTTTAAACTCTTACCATTTCTCCATTTGTTCCACAGCATCTTTGCTAGGCTAAAAAAAAAAATTACAGACAAACACATGAAATTAAATGGTATTCACTAAAGTTGATAAACAAAACCAAAAAAACACACAAAGCTTTCTTCCCCAATACCTGAATAGTTTTCTCCTTATTAGCAACCTTGAGAAGTTCAGCTTCCAGAAGTTCTTCTACGGACTTGATCTTTCCATCTTTTTCATGGATCCTAAGACAAAGAAATGCAGTTTTAAGCTTGAATAGAATTTGAGATCTACCAACTAAGAAACAAAATAGCACCAAATCATCAACAGGCTTACCAAATCAACTCTTTGCATTTTAGGTAAAATAGCAACATATCTGGCAGAGAGAATGGAAAAAAAAAATACCTAAAGCTCTTCCTAAATGAGAATTTATCTGCAACTACTAGATAGCTGAAGCCTATGCACACAAGGAGAGGCTGGTGACATACTTCCAAAGTACACAGGGATTATAAGATTTGTACCCTAAAGAACAATGGGTAGAACTGAGTTTCCCTCAACAATACTGGCATCTAGAGCTCTGAAAGCTGCAGCAGAACTTATACACAATTACAGCATCAAATGTCACAGATACCTCAAGAAGAGGATGCATGCAAGGAACTGATCTCTTATTCCAATATCATCTGTTCTTTAATAGTTCCTACTGTAGAAACAGAAAGCTGACAATTTGCTACCATAAATTAAGAAAATGGATGGCATCAGTTATAAAGCAGATATTCTAACAATCACACTGCACTGAGAAAGCACATCTAAATTCCCTTATTCCATCAATGAAAAATTACAGTGTGAAAGTTAAACTAACATGTATCAGCTGTCTCAATTGTACAAAACAAGATTTATGAGCACTAAGAAAATGGACCAAAAGAGAAAGACCAGTTTAATAATGTCATCACTTACACTTTCTTAAGTTCTTCAACTAGAGATGCAAAAGAAACCTGCAAATAGAAAGGTATATCCTACTTAGTAATTGCTTAAAAATATAAATGAGTCAGAAACAGAAAAGTATGTTATCCTTAAGTTTTCTACTACACCAAAATCCAAATGAGAAAAAATAAAACCATGGAATTCTTTCTAGATTTTTAAAAATAATTATGAAAATGAAGAGCACTTTGAAAGTAAGCAGCTTTAAAGCTACTTATGGTAAATATAGGTCAAAAGAAAAACCAAGTATTAAATTACTGAGTAATTCTAACCAAATAAAGAGAAAATACAACTAAGAAATTACCTAATTTCAGACAGCCTCTTCTACTATTATACAGGATCTTTCTATTTGTATACAGTTGACTCTTGAACAACACATGGGTTATGCACACAGACCCCCTGCAGAACTCCCCCACCCCACATGTAACTTCTGACTCCTCCAAAATTCAACTGTCAATAGCCTACTGTTGACTGGAACACCTTACCCATAACATGAATAGTTGATTAACACCTATTTTGCATATGTATTATATGCTGTATTCAAGCTAGAGAAAATAAACTTTTTTCAAATTGTCATCTCCAAAAAATTTTCCAATATATTTATTGGAAAAAAAACCCTGCAAATAAGTGAGGCCTGCACAGTCTTAACCCAAATTGTTCAAGGGTCAACTGTACTCAAAACCTTTTATAACTGTAGTAAAAAACAATGACATCCTATTTAGAGTACTCTATCCAGCACCTGGCATACAGTCAGCATTCAGTAAGTCACAGCCTCTATTACTGATAATCAAGTCACTAATTATACACAGATTAAAAGTGTAAACAGATTGCAAGTTGGAGTAGGGAGGAACAAACAACAGACTGACTGCAGTTGAATCTAACAGTTTTGTCCATTGTTTAGAAGAGAACAATTGTAGGATCTAAATACATTACCTGATCATTTTGTTTAGTCTTTAATTCTTGAACCTCTTTCCTCAGACATGAATTTTCTCTTCTAATTGCCTTTTTCAAAGACACATAAACACAACATACTTTTATTTTCTGAAAGAAATAACTAGCTTTAAAATACAGTAGCTTCTCCTTTTACTTTAGCTGCTTCTTTTCCTCTCTGGAACACCCAGAAATCTCACTTGTTCCACATCTCTACAGTCTATAACCTCTAGAGCTAGTCAAATGAGTTTTTGATTCAATCATCCCCACAAGTATTTATTTCTACATATGTTTCCACAACCTCAAAACTACATGGTACACCACTTACCAAATCATCTCTCTCCCTAAATTAAAATACATCTTTTAACTTATTTTTTCCAGCAACCATATCCTAATCAAGTTAATTAAAGCTGTGATAATCATAAAACAGAACTATAGTCTCTCCTTTTCTCTCGCCTCCAATACTACTGCATCAATTCATGAAGTCTGCTAATAACTGGTTATAATTGGGCATGGATGGAAGTGGGGAAGCCTATAATTCCTAACAATAGTATCTACTTATATAAGCAGTGAATGCTACAATCAACTATGCACTTTTCTATTTCTAATAATATGCTAAATTTAATGAAAAAAGACATCACATAAATTCATAAAATGTGGGTAACTAACATTACATTTAAAAGCTATGGGAAAACCTTATACAAATTACAGTGAAACCCCTTCATATTCATTGAATAAACCATAAGGAAAATATATCTATAAAATGATTTACATTCAGTTCCTCCTCTTTAGTGGCCACCTGAATAAGTCCAGTTTCAAGTAATTCTTCCACAGTCTTCAACTTCTCATCTTTTTCTTGAATACTGAAATTATATGAAATTTAAAATATATGTAGGAACTATTTTTCAAAGTAAATGATATCATTCCTAAATATTTTATGTGGATCAACTCCTGTGTCCATCCCTATAAAGTTTTGATTCTGGAAAGATTTCTGAAGATCTTTGATCACAGCCTAAGGGTACTACTTCCTCTTTACAAATGAGTAAAATGTGTTCTCAAGTAATGCATGCTTTCATGCTAGCCTAAAGAAATATATCACTGCCACAGATGATGCCCACAAACCAAGTATAATCTCAAATCAGATCAATTAATAGCATACCACTCTCTTCTACTATTAAGTACAAAGAGGATTTCAAGGATCTAGATTAATAAATAATTCTGTTACCTCAAATTTGGTAGAAACGAGACATTAAAATATAAAAAGAAAATTTTAAACTCTTACCATTTCTCCATTTGTTCCACAGCATCTTTGCTAGGCTAAAAAAAAAAAGTTTAATTTTACCAAGTTTGAAAGTTATCTAAAACTAGTTTAGATAAAGGATTCTATAAAAAACTATTTAATCAGGTGCAAAAATTTAGGAAGATGATCCATATCTGAAGACTGCTAAAAATAAAAGAATTATTTAATTCAGAAAATACAAGACATAAGAGAAGCAACTACACAAAGACACAGAAAAAGATGAAGTATAAAAAGCCTAGCAAAAAAATAAATTAGTATCCTATGAATAATTTTTTAGTCACTGTAAAAGAAAACCTTAAGGATGAAAAGAGAATTTGCCTTACTTCCTTTATTAATTCATTTCTTCAACATAAAAAGTCCAAGGCTCATGGCCTCACAGGCCAGGAAGGAGGCTTTGCTCTTTCTTTTTATAAATTGATTTAACTTTTAAAACTAAGTTTTAACATTTATATAGGCAAGTGCACCAATCCTGTTTACAATGCAATTTATTTTTAACATGAAGATACTGTGTAACCAATACTCAGACCAATACATAGAATAGAAAGTTTTAAAACTGATTGTAAATTGCAGAAGCAACATATGAACATATTCCCCCTGTAAAGCAGTAAAACATTACATGTAAGCTGACCTCACCCCCTTTCTAATATTCCCCCATAAACACAGAAGTCCCCGGTGTTATAATTTATTGTGTGTCCAAAAGGGGGGCTTCCTCCTTGGCACTCCCAGGGCTTCAGACAGCTAAGCAGCCTTACAAAAATGGGTTTGTGATCTTTTTCCTCGAACATTCTCTTCTGCCATCCCATTCTCTTCTTCTCAATTTTTTCCCTTTTTATTACAATCATTTTTCACAAATATTATAAATTTTTCCATTGCCAAATTCAAGTCCTAAGATTCTATTTCTTGCATATTTCTAAATTAATCAACTTTTCTTCAATGCCTATGGAAGGCCTTCAGCTTTACCCATCTCAAATACCACAATATACTAAAACTCTCTCTGCTTTTGGTCCATAATGATTATTCTGTGAGGATTACAGGAAGAACTTCTCAGTGGGAAAAAATTTTCCTTCTACCAGAAAGAAGATAAGTGCTGTCAAAAGTACATTAAATCAGGCTTATAAAATGTGAAAAATAAATCATGCAGTAAGTTTATAAATCTTTCAACAAGATGGTTTTTTATCCATCTTTATTTTTGACAAATGCCATCTCTCACCTAAAGATTTAACACAAAATGTGTAACTATGTATGGTGATGTATGTTAACCAGTTATTGTTATGATCATTTTGCATTATATACAAATATCAAATCATTATACCCAAAACTAATCAAATGTAATGTCAATTATATCTCAATTAAAAAAAGACAACACTATTAAGTCCAAGTTACCTGCACCCTAATCATTGAGTTGTATTATTATCTTCAGTCCTACATTCTTCTACCCCACATAAATTCAAACATCTGTTACGAGAGTGATCTAAAATGCTCAACAAAAAACCTAATCATCCTTGTAATAAATACCTTTCAGTGGCTTACCCACATGCTACATGAAGATCATGGTACTTACACAGCAAACAAGGTCGTTCATGATTAGGCCTGAGTCTTTTTCCACTCTTTACATCTCATAATTTACATTTCTACAATATGTCAATATGCCCTGAAATGCCATTGCCACACATTGCCATGACTTTTAACACTGCATCCCCTCACCCTGGAGTACCCCTTAGCTGTTTGGCAAATTCGTGGCCATTTTTCAAAATCAGGTTTAGCTGTCCCCTCTCTATCATACCTCTTCACCCTCACTCTCCTTCAGATTAGAATTTGTATCTTCCTCCAAACCTACAAACACAATTCAGTAACTTTATTCATCACACTTTTGTGTTACTAAGCCACATTCTTCAGGGTAGGATCCAAGTCTCATTCATCTGTGTAGCCTTAGAATGCAACACAGTACCTAGCATACACCCAATTCGTAAATATATAATGAACTGAATTTCCTTTAACAAGGCTACAGTTTAATAAATACTCTTGGTCAAGTGCTCATCAAATATATTCAATTGCGTAAAACAGACCATCCATTCACTTAGTATCTATGCAACATTTTCACTTCTTACATTGTAGGTATAAATCCAATCCAAATTTTTCCTTCCCAGACGGTTTTCAAAACTACATGTTACGTGACAATGAATTCTTCTGCAATATAATATAGCCCTGCAGCAAGGCAAAGCAATTTCCTGCTCCCATAGTTTTTACTTAATAATCTTGATCATTACATCTTAAAAATCTACAATAAAGTCATACTGCTCCAGAGCTAAGAAGTCAAGATGCTTCAAAAAACAGGATACCTGAACCCTTCCCCGCAAAAAAAGTTTGATTTTATCTTAAGTAAGACTTAGTAATGATTTATTTACCTCATCTACCCACAGGCATACATCCAAATGGAGTCTTCCCTTCTTTCATGTATAAAAAGTTACTTTACCTTGTATTTGTCTTTCTGCTTCCTACACCTGAAGAAACAACAACTTGTCATCATTATTGGTTTCTGCTTCAATAAGCTCAATCTTTTCTTCCAGAATAAAAATCCATGGGGGCAGAAGGACTGAACTTCTTTTTACATAACTAAACTGTTCCTCTCTCAACTGTCACTTGGAATGCTGACTGCTGGATAGGAAGGGGTTAAAGAAAGGTGGAAATGAAAGAAATGGAAATTATACTAATCTTTATCTCTTCTTTCACTAGCAATAGCAATTAAAATGATCAGAGAAAAAACCAAAACGATGATTCTTTAGTCTGCCAAAATGAGACTGGTAAATTATACCTACCTACTAATCAGAAACATTATCAGCACAGTATCTGCTTTCTAGACTAAAGAGAAAGTGCTTTCAGAAGAAAATTATAAGAATTACCAAAGAAAAAATCTTAAATTAGTACCACAAAGTAAGTTTCCCCTCTTATCATATCAAATAATCAAAAAATGTGGCTATGAAATTTTGCTCTGTGGACTGTTCTTCATAAAAATTCATAAAACTATCCTTCACTTAAAAAATCCATCTCATGCTAAAATGGATCTTAACAGAGTATCTAAGAGTACACAAAAACCACATAGTAGACAAAAAGTTGAATATTCAATAAGGTAGAAATTAGAAGAATTTTTAAAATATTAACTTCCACACATGATAGGGTATTTTATGTAAGCTATTAGAATGGCAATTCTTAGGGCAACATATTATCTTTAAGGAAAAAATAGTGGAAGGAAAAGCTAGTGGTTCTGTTCCTATCTAATTAGGATGGAGAATACCATTTTTAGTGTACAATAAAAGTTAAACAATTTTTAAAGATTCAAGTTTTCTGCTTAAATTCAAGAGTTACCAGTATCTTTAATACTGGAATTCTAGGAAAGATTCAGAAATTTCTAGTATCTGTTCTAGCTCCCATGAAGTAAATTTTAGAAGTTTAAAACTTTATATATGGGAATAGGTATTCCAGAATCTCTAATAACCAACTCACAAACACTACATTCTGCTTTTCGAGGACGAGTTAACAAGACCAAAAGTTACTTATCATAGTTTATCTAGTCAAGTCACCAATGCTGCATTTCCCAACTGGTATTTTATGTAACTGCTAAAAATTAAAATGCTGTCAACTGAACTATAACCAGAGATTGTAAGATACTCCGAGACTGCAGAGGTGATTAATAAAAAAAAAATTTCTCCCTTGTAATTTATCATCTCTGCAGTCTCAGTGTATTTTACAGTCTCTGGTTATAGTTATTTTAAGTATCATTGATATACAATCTTATGTGAGTTTCAAATATACAATACAGTGATTCAACAGTTACCCATATTATGAAATCCTCAACCCATCCAGTGTGGTCATTACCTATCAATGTAGTAAGATGTTACAGAATCATTAGCTGTACTACCGTCCCCATGACCAACTTACATTGTGATTGAGGATTGTTGTGCTCCTTATACCCTTCCCCCTCCCCACTCACCCTCTCCAATCCTTTCCCTTTGGTAACCGCTAGTCCCTTCTTGGAGTCTGAGTCTACTGCTATTTTGTTCCTTCTGTTTTGCTTTGTTTTTATACTCCACAAATATGCGAAATCATTTGGTATTTGTCTTTCTCTGCCTGGCTTATTTCACTGAGCATAATACCCTCTAGCTCCGTCCATATTGTTGCAAATGATAGGATTTGTTTTCTTCTTATGGCTGAATAATATTCCATTGTGTATATGTAAAACTTCATCTTTATCCATTCATCTATTGATGGACACTTAGGTTGCTTCCATAGTACAAGGAAGAAATCTTATAATTGATGAAATATTTCTTATAAGTTATAACAAAAGGGAAATGATAATGAGAGTTAAGAATAAGACTTCAATACCATTTTTGGATTATAGTGTCATGAGTCATCTAGCTGCACTAAGTATCATCCATTCAGCTCTTCTCCTTTATTACCTTTGTTTGCAAAGGTAAAGCATATACAAAATAATTAAAATCATACGAAGCACTTAATATTGTATTTAAGGATGGGGAGTAGAATAAATGGATTACTTCTTGACAAGTCAACAGATGTTAATAAAATACTTCCACAGTATTTGGCACAGCTACTTACACCAACACCTACATAAATGTGAATTTTAAAATTAAAAAACATGCATCTACTAAATGAAGTACTGTCATTGTAATGACTTATATTTCACCTTCTACTAAGAATTCATTCCAAAAATTTAGCAGTGTTATTATTAACAGAGAAATTCTATTCTAATGTGTCACCTAATATCAAAAAGTTTCTAAATATTTTTAAAACCTGGAATTTGAGTAGTTGTGCAGAACAAGAGTATGAAGGCAACTCTTAGAAAAAGCCACATAAATGGACATTGCCTCGGGGGTCTAATTTATGGAGAGCCATGCTTATTCAGGCTGCTATAGTTTTGATGGTTTTCTGTAAATACCTAAAAATACCTAAATTTCCTAAAAATTCAAACCCCTATTATTGTTTTAAGTACCCAAAAGTGACAAGGAATTAAATACTGACTTAAGAATGCAAATCTCATGTGGTTTCATTTTTCAGTTTCAATGAATATAGTACTAGTATAAAATACATATACAATGATCTCTAAAACTGCTTTTCTAGAAAAAAGTATGATGACAGTAGGAGGCAGATGAAATGGAAAAAGTAAATATTCTAAGAGAAAGGAATTAAGGTTTAAGATGCCTGCCATATGCAAAGCACTAAACATAAACTTCCCCTTCTAATACTAACAAGCTTATGATGCAAATAAATGTCAATGTGAAAGACTTGGAATGAGAGTCTTAGATCAACATCACCCTGTTTTTAAATGAATGGAGTAGGTTTCAAACCCATTCTCTTTTTAAGAAACTGCCATAGAGAAAAAGAGACTCCAAAAGTCTAAGGAATTTATCCTGAGAGCCAAATCTATCAAAATGACTTAAAGAAATTCTTATGTATCCTATCACAGTTTTTGTTTTTGTTTGGGGGAGTGGGCATAGCCAGAGGAAGTGGGAAGTGCTCATAAGGTTACCATTAGCTTCCTCTCAGGGAAGAAAAAATATGTTTTCCTTAATTTAGATACTTGATGAACAGAAATTTAGCTACTTGCTTAAGATGAATCTACACTTAAGCAAAACTCAAAATGACTGAGTTGATTACTATTTAAATAGAACCAGAATTCTTTATATTGAATATTTCTACCTTTTAATTCATGAAAAGCCTTACCTGTTCAGAAAGAAGAGTCTGTAGCTTCTGAACTTCTAATTGTAATGCTTTATTTTGGTCATTCAGAATCTGGAAGAAAGTATCTCAATTTACTATTGTTTTATTAAAAAAAGGTAACAAAGCAATCACTTGAGTATGTTTTCTTAAAAATTCAAACCCCTATTATTGTTTTAAGTACCCAAAAGTGACAAGGAATTAGATACTGACTTAAGAATGCAAATCTCATGTGGCTTCATTTTTCAGTTTCAACGAATATAGTACTAGTATAAAATACATACACAATGATCTCTAAAACCATAGTTTCTACTGAGCCCCTTAATTCAGTCATGTGATTTATTCCAAAATAGCATTAACACTATGTTTGTAACTGTTTCCTGTGTATTTCAGAGTTGAACAGTTTGTGCCAATGGCTTCTGGGAAACCTTCCTTTCTGAAGTGCATACTGAAAGGATTCCTATTAAACAAAAGTTAAAAAAAGAAAGAATGTATATCTTATTACATGTAGAAATGCACACTGTGATCAAAATGCTTTACAATACTCAAGCTGATTGGCCATGACAAGAAACTAGTACTGCATTAACAATGGAGGCAGTTCATCACAAACTACTGGCTAAAATCTGCAGAGAAAAGCTAAATTTCAGAAGTCTCTTATAAGAACAGAAAAGTTAAGATAACCTATGCAAAAAGTCTATAATAAAAATTCATTGTCTGTATAAGCCCCCAAATAAACCACAGAAATTGTGTTTCTGAGTGATTATATATAAAAAGTAGTATTTCCAGAGACACTTCAGCTGAAAACTGAAATGTTTTTTCAAAGAAAGCTGAGTTGACAAACTTAATCACACACCTTAAATTCTTCCATTTTGCTTGAAATTTCACACTGTAGCTGCTCTTCAAGCAATCTTATTTTATCATCCTTAATATAAATACTATGAGAAAAGAAATCAATTAAAATACTTCACATACTCAGAAAGTTTACATAAATTATGCACATAGCTATCAGTTATAAGCAGCAATATTTCCTGCAGTTATACTTGAATAGAAATGTATGAATGGCTCCATGTAGAACAATACTTTAGTCACCTTTTCTGCATCTTCTCCAGTTCATGTGCAGCAGCAGCCTGTGTATGAAATGAGATCAGAATTACATCATTACTCAGGAAGCCCTCAAAACTATTCTTTCAGTGATTTTTATAAGTTACATTTTCATATAGATGAAGTAAATCAAGTTAAAGCAGTATCATAAATTTCTGTAATACTTTATGCTGTCCAGTATTTTGTACTTCTCATGGGTCAACTTTTATCCTAATACAAAGTGTATTCTTTTTTGATTAAATAGCAGAGGCTAAAACAAATTAGCATTTTAACAGTTTTAAATTGATTTCTCTGATAACTCAAAATTGATCAATTAACTGGATGGAACATCAATTTCAGCACAAAAACAGTAACACCTAGGTGGATTGAGAGAGTCATGGTCAAACATTAGAAGGCTTTCAACAACACACCATGCAGCCAAACACACGTATCCATTTTATTTATTATCTACATGAATAAAATTCGAGCTTGCAATACCAGTGAGAATAAGTATAGACAAACTGAAATTCTGAGGCTAATGCTCAAAAGCAAAAAGACCTACCTGTTCATTTGCCAGGGCCTGTAATTTTTGTACTTCAGCTTTTAGTAAGAAATTCAAATTCTGTATATCCTAGAACAAGAAAGAAAAATAGTATTAGAAATATTTAATATAATTGGCTTTGAAGTTTGTATAGCATCTCTTCTACATAAGCAAGGCCTCAAATTGCAATTTCTTAAATCAGAAGAAAACATCACTTCACATTATTTAGTATATTTTCCAAGACACTGTGAATTATATCACGTTAAAAAAGCTCTTTTGAGCTTTCCTCTTAGAAGTCTAAAGAGGATTTTGTAGTTTAGAAAAAAGATAAGACACTTTTCAAAAATCCTAGAGTATTTTCCATTCTTCATAGACATTTGTACTGATTACAAGGATAGGGTAATATGATGCTTCTAAAATATTGCAGCCATTTATAAGAATTACTGTACCTTAAGTTCCTCCTCTTTACTTGTTAAATGATCATGTTCATTTGCTAAAGAATCTTCAGTCTGTTTTATCTGCTTATCCTTTTCTGCAATCCTTTAACAGGAAATATATTTGTTCACTCAATGAAGATTTAGAAGTCACCAATCAAAGGATTAACAGACTTAAATATGGTCATCCTTACCTAAGTAGTTTCTCACGTAACTATTCTATACTCTATAGCCCCTTTCAGTTTAGTAATAACTGTTAGATACATTACTATAACTCCTTAAAATGAATACCCTTATTTTAAAACTTCCGGTCAAAAGTTAAATAAGTTAAGCTCACAAGCCTGGTAATACCCAAACCAGATTTCAGGTCTTCTGAACTCAAGTGACCCAAGTTTCGGGGGGCATACCACCATATGGTTAAGACACAGGGTAGATACAACTATTTATTAGACACAAAAACTAACTTACTTACACTAATATCAAATTACCATTATCTCTTCCACATAACTGCTAAGGCCCAAATGAAAAAAAGCTTCCCCAACTCTTTATGATGAAGACATGAAAGCACAGAATGTATAATGTTTAGGGACCCAACATACTAAGGGGGGTTAAAAAAAAGACCAGAATCCACTGCACCTCCAAATCTAGTTGAGTATTTTCTCAACAAGTCAGAATTATCACGTTAAAAAAGCTCTTTTGAGCTTTCCTCTTAGAAGTCTAAAGAGGATTTTGTAGTTTAGAAAAAAGATAAGACACTTTTCAAAAATCCTAGAGTATTTTCCATTCTTCATAGACATTTGTACTGATTACAAGGATAGGGTAATATGATGCTTCTAAAATATTGCAGCCATTTATAAGAATTACTGTACCTTAAGTTCCTCCTCTTTACTTGTTAAATGATCATGTTCATTTGCTAAAGAATCTTCAGTCTGTTTTATCTGCTTATCCTTTTCTGCAATCCTTTAACAGGAAATATATTTGTTCACTCAATGAAGATTTAGAAGTCACCAATCAAAGGATTAACAGACTTAAATATGGTCATCCTTACCTAAGTAGTTTCTCACGTAACTATTCTATACTCTATAGCCCCTTTCAGTTTAGTAATAACTGTTAGATACATTACTATAACTCCTTAAAATGAATACCCTTATTTTAAAACTTCCGGTCAAAAGTTAAATAAGTTAAGCTCACAAGCCTGGTAATACCCAAACCAGATTTCAGGTCTTCTGAACTCAAGTGACCCAAGTTTCGGGGGGCATACCACCATATGGTTAAGACACAGGGTAGATACAACTATTTATTAGACACAAAAACTAACTTACTTACACTAATATCAAATTACCATTATCTCTTCCACATAACTGCTAAGGCCCAAATGAAAAAAAGCTTCCCCAACTCTTTATGATGAAGACATGAAAGCACAGAATGTATAATGTTTAGGGACCCAACATACTAAGGGGGGTTAAAAAAAAGACCAGAATCCACTGCACCTCCAAATCTAGTTGAGTATTTTCTCAACAAGTCAGAATATAAAGTTAATCATAAGCACTGAATCTAACAGGTGTTAAATTAGTGGTGATTAAGCAATTATAAGAGAAGTGTAGAAAGGCAGGCTTACACTTTATGTAATTCTTCTGCTAGAACTGAAGCGGAAGTCTAAGAAAAATATAATCAACATAAAAGCATTTAAGATAAATGTAAAAGTTGTACAATAATCATAGTAGAACTTTAAGAATTAAAAGAAATTACTATATATAAAGTTGTTAAGGCAGTATCTGGCTCATGACGGGTGCTCAATAGTAGCTATTAATGATCTCCAACACCCAATATTAGGAAATTACATTTCTTAAGACATTTCAAATAAAACAAGCTAGCAGTTCTGGAAATTATGTAACTGACAAGCAATACATAGGAAAAATAGCCACAGAGGCCATTTTTCATTCTTGTGCTCCTTTTCCTTAGTAACTATTTTCAATAATGAAATGATACAGTTCATGATTAAGATAACAATTAAGTCAATTTGATTAATACCCATGCTATCATTACTTTGTAAAAGGTACTTAGAGCATTCTCCAAATATTTAATTCTTGATAAATTTTCTAGAGCTCTCTCTCAATAAGATCTCAATCCAATTTGAGTTGATAATTTACATATATACATCGATACATACACACATGCTCTTTCCTATATTAACTCTTTTCCAATTAATTTTAGACTGAGAGCTATGCTTAATATGCTTAATATACCATCTGAGGGTATTATGTAACTTTATAAGTTTTCTCTTATGGTTAGCCAGTATTTAGTGAAATAAACCACTATTTTTGACACATTCGGCCAATTCCCCGTTTTGTGAGGACTGGTAAAAAATCTCTAACCCACCTCCCACTAGCTGGGTTCAGATTTCTGTCTTAGTGTTTTCCCACAGCACTGTGCATAATTACCAGAGTGCTTAGCACTCCGGGTATCACTACTAATCCAGTAGAGCTCTGCACTCAACAAGCATTCAGATGATTATGTAAACAGCTAGAAAGCTATTATTAATGATAAGCAGTGAGAAAGTACCATTACCTGGGCTGCTATCTGGGAATGAAATTGTTGAATTTGGGCTTTCAAAGCTTCATTCTGCTCCAAAATATCCTTTCATAAATTGCAACCAAAAAGGAGAAGGGGAAAACTGTGCTGTTAACAAATATACTAATGTACATGAGCAAAATGAGTTACAATTTTATCAGTTTATCTTTAAAAAGGCACTCTTAAATTCTAAAAGGCAACATTTTAAACTGACTATGCATTCTATTCTTAAAGTTAATTTATCATGTGGAAATTAAGAATATGTTAGGCTGCTCCTAATCTAACACAAAAAAGTATAAGACTGTGAGTGAGGATATCTGTAGGCACATATTCAAACATACCGTATTGTGACAACTGCTCACAGATTAAGTTCTAATTACTCATCACTACTCAAGAATTAGGATAAGGTAGAGCTATCCTCTCTTCGACACATCCAACCACTGCCCACCTTTATTTTTTAAAAGGAAACATTGGATACCTGAACCTGCATTTGTAGAGACTCTTCTTTGGTCACCCTTTTTTGCTCCGATTCCATTAACTGCATTAGTCTTTGTTCCAACTGTTGTTTTGATACCAGGGTATCTGTAAGCTTACTATGTAGACTCTGCACTTCATTTTCTTTGGCCACAAATTTACTCTGTAAATCTGTAACAGAACACTGCATTTGACAAAGATCTCTACCTTTGCCTGGCTACTATCTTCAGACTAGGCATTATCTCTTCTAGAAAACTCTCCTTAGATTTCTCCTTTGCTTCCCCTCCCACATACAGCTCCTCTGAGCAGCCTATGCTTACCTTTATCACAGCACTAGCCACACTGTACTAATTTGTCTCCTCTCCCAGAGAATGAGCTTTTTGAGATCAGAGACTGCCTTTTCTCTACATCCACAGGTATGCCCAAGGCTTGGCACACAGTACATACTCAATAAATGTGTTAATTGAATGGTACATGGGTGTTTAAAACTACTGTATTATTTTTTTAAAGCATTCTTTATTTCCCCAAAGATGTTCTAGTAAGTTATTAAGTGAATTTCTTATAAATTCTCTGTTCTTTCCTACTTGGAAAAAAGACAGATGCTGAAGGCTGACAGATGTCCTGGTGTAAGATGAAGTGTAACTTTACTGTCTGCTTTTACGTAATGATCCTAAAACAACAAAAAAAAATGAGAAACAAACATAAAACTATCTCTGATCAGAGGAGCTATATGTGGGAGGGGAAGCAAAGGAGAAATCCAAGGAGGGTTTTCTAGTTTGTTTCTTCAATCAGAAAATAAATATAACTTCAAATCACAAGAAATTAAGATAAAATTAATTGGAGAGATTATTACTAACTCAGCAGATGAAGATGAGGAAAGTGTTCCAGAATCCCAGAAAGACTCAGTAAATACCAGGTATCATGAGCGCTGTCTCCCAGACCCACAACATAAACACGTTCAAAACCAGAGAAAAAAAGAGGCCACTACAACCAAGGATGGAGAGGCAAATATAGGTTAAAATAGAAAATGTGTATTATGTGTGTGCACAATGTGTGTGTCTATGTATGAGTAGTATATATGTTTTAGGAAAAATGAGATGTTATTTCCACAACAAGGCACTAGTAACAGATCACAAATTGAAAAAAGAACTCCTGAAAATTAAACATATAATGGTCATATGCAAGATTGGAACTCTTAAGAGAATATTTCTTACCAGGAACAATAAACATTAAAAACTAAACTAATGCATTCAGAGTTCTATGAGGAAATTACTTACAACCTAGAATTTACATCCAAACTACCAATAAAGCATGACAGTAAAAGAATAAAAACATTTTCAGATAGGCAAAGCCTTAACAAATGTACTTAAAGGCATACTTCTATGGAGCTACTAAAAGGTATGTTATTAAGTGAGGAAAGCAAGAAAGATGGCAGTAACATAGGATCCAAAAACAAAGGAAAAAGCAACAAATATTGGAATAGGAAAATTGAGGAATCCAAAGAAAGACTCCCCAGGAAAAACTGATAGTTTTTGCCAATACTGAATATGTTGAGAGGCTAAGAACAGGGAGAGTGTTAAAGGGAGTTTAACCATGGGTAAAATTTTAAACAATAAAAAAAATCAAGCACATTAAAAACATAAAGCAATTATTAGTTCGAGGAAATTAAAAAATATTGTCCAAGAAAAGAACTGCAGTTATAATATTTATCTTGGCTCAGCATTGAGGTATACAACCATCATGATTTAAATAATGAATATTGATATAATCAAGAAGTGTGCATAACTATATCAGGAGACTGAGGGGAAGGTGGAAGGAATGGTATGGGATTGTTAAGCCCTAATTTTCTGAAATAAAGGGTCAACAGATACCTATCGAGAGAGAGCAGTCAGTATAAGTATTAATAATATGCTCACTTACAAATACAATGTAAAATACTAAAAAGCAAAAGTGACTGCTTCTGGTCAAAGTAAGGTTTTACTGTTTACAGTTATATATAGTTTATAGATAATTACAAATAGTGAATAGCTACAATTGGCAAAATTCATGTGTGCTTCATTGATAAAATATAAAACATTAATTAAAAAATAAGCTAATGAATCAATGTAAATATAAACTTCATAGCTAAAGAAAAAGGTCTTCAAATATCTTGGATATATTTAAATATTGAACCAAAGGAATATACTCAAGGGGTGGAAAAAAAATAGGAAGAAACCAAAGGTCTAAAGAGACTAAACCCTGTATGATCTATCCTATTATTTGAATTGTATTTTACTAGCTCACTGCCTCTTTCATGGGAGAAAGTGAGTAGTGGAGACATAAATAATACACAAAATACAAGCTCCATTATCTCCAAGATGGTCATCAAATTTAGAATAATCAGTGAAAGTAATTAAGTAGGCAGTTTGAAGTCAACTACTAGGAATGGTAATGTTCTCACTGCTTTTCTCTTCACAATAGAGGAAGTGAGTCCTTCCTTAGAAACAAAAAATAAAATGAGGAGTTGATCAAGGGACCAAAGGGAAAAACTACATAAAGGAAACACACAGCACTGGGTTCCCATTATTGTATTAGGGGCTGTGATTTTATCTGTAACTTAATGCTTCACAAAAAGCTAGGAGACAGCTTATCTTTAAAGCCCTAAGAAATGTTAAAGAAATATTCTGAAAGTTTAAAAGCTATTTTTAATGAGCTATGACAAAATGCAAAACTATACTTTCTTCACATATTTGAGAGGGGAGGAAATTTTACCCAGAATTATATACTAAATTTACATGAATACCCCTTCCCCTTACCTTGCTGGGCTGCCTCATGCTCTGCTGTTCTCTTTCTGATATAGCTCTGGACTTCTTCCCACCTTCTCTCAGCTTCTTGGAGTTGAACCTGGAGAAAGGATAAGTCAGCACAAACACAGGATTTCAATTTAAAAAAAAAAAAGCATCCTCTTTATCTTTGTTGTTGTGTCATAAAACTGTTTCTAAAAACTAGTCTCCTATATTTTAATAAGATAGGCAAACCCCAGTAAGATGCTCAGTCTGATAATATGCACAGGTATTACCAGCCACAGCCATTCCATTCTCTAATACATAGGATTTACAGATGAGAGATTATTTCAGAAACTCAGTATTGTTCTCATGCATCAATATAGCTACTACTCTGTATATATCTGAGCCACTTAGCTATAATGTTTTCCATTAATCTTTCTTTAGTTGATGGGCTTTCAAAAGATAGGATAGTATCTTTATTGCTAAATCTCAGCAGGGACCAAAGTTTATATTTTGAGGTACAGGATAAACACTTCAGTGTGACCATAATCTTTAGTGTCATTTATCTACTTCTCTATATCTGTAAAAAACAAACTTTCGTATTTATATAGGCTAGCACTAAACACACATGGGCAAGATAAATATTAAATAAAGGAAAGGGGAATTTTATCAATCTCCCATAGGAACCCATGAAAACATCAAAGAAAATAAAAATTACACTATTTTCCTCATTCACTTATTCTCAAAACCCTCTTAATCCCTAATACTGGACCCTGTATAAGGTACGGATGTATCAAGGACCTATGCAGGAATCTAACACACTTAACCTAAACAAACTGAACTATATATACATTCAACAAATCCTCTATCCAATAAAAGGAGGAACAGACAATTCTACTCATCATTCCACTCAATGTGCATTTGCTATGAAGTGCAAAAGAAACAAATCTACTCCTCTCTGTCAGATGAAATCAAACTTCGTAACAGTCAATCAGATAATTTCATTTTCATATCTTCAGTCAGGAACTTCAAACTCAAGCCTATATTCATTTCTTTCATTAGTGCACACTTTTTATTTCGGCAAAGCACTTAAGATTACAGGTCCCATTAAGCTTCCAACAACATTTCTCAAACATAAATGCACATTCAGGTCATTTAATTGAGTATCTGCTCTACATATGAAAAGATAAATAAAGGTGGTAGCTTATCACCTTCAACTGAGTAACTGCTTGCTCAGCATTCTTCTTTTGGACTTCCTCTTGTTGCAGCTTTCCTGTTTTCTCAGTCAGCTCATTCACCAACCTAGCATAATCCTGGCGTAGTTTATTTAGTTCAGCAGACTGCCTGAAAACAGTAGCTGGATTAGGAACCTTTCATTATTACAAACATACATAAAGCATAGATAAATAAAACATATTTTATATTAGTTTTGCTGAGTTAGTAATTTCATTCATAGCAAACTGAAAAGGACTACTATATATTACGTAAGTTACTACTAATAATGAAATTCAGTTAAATGAATCATTCTGATGACAATTACACAATTTCTAAAGTATCTATAAAATAATGAATAAAAATGGATGCCCATACACTCATGAGTATGAATCAACAGTGTCACCCTCAAACAGGTATTCTGAAAAATCTATTAAAATCAACCAGTCATAGTGTTTATTCTGAGTAAGCAAGCTACCATTCTTCTCTAAGGCACTGTTTCTCAAAATATGGCCCAGAGCTAACTATATCACTATCAAAAAGAACATGTATAAATAGTCAGTTTCCTAGGCTCCCACCAAATCATAATCATTTAGGGGTAGGACTCAAGAATGTGCTTTTTTAACTAACATGCCAGAGGCTTTCCAGAATAATGAAGTTTGGGAAAAACTTTAAAGGGGATAGATGTTTTAAAACTTGGAAATTCAGTCTCATAAAATTGTGGACTATTCCACTGGCAGTAGTAAGTATGTATCATATAGGTTAGCTGAAGAAGTTCTTTACACTGTAAGAGAATTGTTTTTGAAATTTAACTCATTTTACAAACAAACGCAAAAAACAAAAGCTAACCAATTACTATCAAACACCACTTTGATGACTCAAGAAAATATGAAGCCATTCAATTAAAATATTCTGCCATTCCATTAAAAATTCAGTATTTGGAAACATACTTGCTTTCTAGTTGGTTTGTAGTATTGCTGACAGCATCTCTCAGTATGCCATTTTCTTGCTTCAAGTGAGCTATCTCTGCCTCCATCTGCTCACGAACTTGCTGGAACTGAAGTTATTTTACACACATGAGTTTAGAAAACAATGACTGCCAAAGCTAACTTTTAAAAGAAACTTTATTATGATGAGAACTTAAAAAGCATGAACAGAATAAAGTCTGGACCATCCTTCTCAAAGAAATGTAAACAAACTAAAAGGATAAAATACATTTTCACAGTGACAGATGCAGAGTAAATACAAGCTGCCAGAGCATTCAAGAATGCAAGTTGCTGCTGTCATATATGAAATGTAAAATAAATACACAGAGATGTTTTAGAACTAAAAGATGATTTAGAACTTCCTTGTTACCTAAGACTATATAAAGAATTAAGCCTTTCTTGATCCTAGATTATGTCAACTTCATTTTATTAGAGTATTTCTCTATGAAAAAATTTAGCAATTGAAAATATGTTCAATTCATTTATACGTTACAAGTTGAGCCATAATCAAATAGATGGCAAATCCACCTGCTAAAATACTCTGGCTTCTAATTTTTTACTTCAGAATTACAGAATCAAAAGAAAGAATACTGAATCTTATATTCTCATAAGGATATATGTTTTACTTTAGTATGTGAAGTCATTTTTAGTTAACCTATTTAATTAAGAGAAGTTAGAGTATGTTTTTTTTTTTTAGAGAACTTACAGGGCATCTACATTTTGGCCTCTATAACTAACCAAGTTAAAAAAAAATAATGTATCACTTTAACACCTTTAACCCTTGATAAAATATATTGCTACCAAGCGCTTGACTAAGTTTCAAATGAACAGTTAAGTAGGGTTTTAGAAAAAGAAAAGATCATTTGAGACTAGAAAAAAAAGTCAGGTTTTCAACAACCTGATTAATGGGAAATACTTCAAATGACCAGGAGCGGGAAGATAAAGGACTGGGCCAAATGAAAGCATAGAAGCAGTGCGTAGTAATTACATTACTGAACTGTAATGGAGTATTTACTTGTAAGCTTAGAGCCTCCCAACCTCATCAATCCCTATTAAAATTGTTTGCTTAAAGACAGAGAGACAGTTTAGTCATTGTACCATGGTCCAGCAGAGAGACTTGCACATATTAGACACTTGAAAATTTGCTAGTTGAATGCAAACATTTCATTGTATTTTCAAAAAAAGAAAATATACCTTCATCTGCATCTGTTGAGTCTCTTGATAACTGACATGCATTTTGTTTTGAAATACATTATGTTCCTTTTCTAATGTTCCAATCCGATCTTTCATCCTTGCTATAACCACACTGCTTCTTTCTTTCTCTGCCATCATTTCCTAGAAGAGAAAAACAGAAATTATGAAAACTTATTTTAAAAAATGTATTATAGACTACAAGAAAACATTTTTAACATCAGCAAAAATATTGACAGTACAACAATCATGAGTTCTGAAATAAGTAATTACTTAAAAAGCAAGGTCAAAGGTTTTAAAAAAATAGGTCAGCTGCCTATTACCTGTTTTTACATCAATTTCTTTCATAAACACTCAGCTGTTTTTCTGTTTACTCTTATTTCAAATATACTTTCTGATCTAAGAGCTAAAAAGTTGAACCTCAAGGAAACTCTACATTCTAACTTGATTACAAAAAAGAATATTTTTAAAACAAAACAGTTGATTATTATTTGAAGGTACTCTCTCTCTTTTAGGGCACAAAAAAGGAAAAAGCCTAGAAGAGAAAAAAGAAGTCTTCTTCCTAGAGGAAGACATAAAGATACATTTATAGCAGAATGGAAGTTTAAAGTAAGGAAAAGTAAATATGAGAAGGTAAAGTTTTATTATCTTCCCAAGTCAAATCTTAAAAGGGTGATTTCATTTTGTGTTGCAAATATTATGAACTTCTAGAACAATTGTTAATTATCAAAGTGTAAGAAAGCCAAGCAATTTTTAATGTTATCTGCAGGTGTAAAACTGATAAAATTTAGGTTTTTTATGTAGCTGACATTTACCCATAAGAGTTATCAACTCATTTACATTTGTAAATTGTACTGATATGTGTAATACACTTAGGAAGAAAAGTATACTCATCATAAGTGTATTACTTAAGTACATAAAACTCAATTACCATGAAGTGGATACTTTTTTAATTTTTAAAATACAGTTTTATGTGGCTATACTTTTCTGGACAT